AACATTTTGTCAAACTAGTAAAAAATATCAAGCCGGGTGACCAGGTAAAGCTATATATAAAAGATTAAAAAATTTGGTCATATTTCTGGCGATTTACTTTTTATCGTAATTTGCTTTTTTTAACTTTGCAATTTCGTTTATTTTTCCTTACAACATTTTCCGCAGTTTGTTTTATAATAAAATCGTTAAACATTAAAATCTTTTTAAATATTGTAAATACACCTCGTATTGCGAGAATTTAGGATGGTACTTTTAAATTGGAGAATTATATCGAACAGCGCTTATTTTGTAAAATATATTCTCACTATTCCCGCTAAGGATCTTTCTTCAATATGAATGAATCGTTGTTGCCCGCTGGCACTTCGGCGAATCCACGTAGGCGTATACGCGCGCGCGTGCCACAACAACCGGGCTCTTTCTTTTTTTCCTGTGCCATTCGGACTTCTCGTCCTGATCATTCGAGGTTGCTCATTAATGAAACATCTTCAGTGTATATGGCCGTTGTATGTAGATGAAGCCGAGTTAATGTAGAATAACGATAGGATAAAATGTCTGTGAGATTCTGCATTCTGCATTTACTATTATTAACTCATTGACATTGATATCGTAAAGAAAACCCATTGACATTCAGTCGAAAATAATTTGCCATAATAATGTTACTTCAATTTCTTAAGGTAGTTGTCTCGCGACAGTATGATCTAAAAGTTAAGTCCTTCATTACAAAAAAACTCAAATAATAAAGTTTAGATATTACATATTATTTAATTTATTATACGAACAATTTATTACTAAAAAGGATTAATCAAAAGTTTAATAATAATTTAAAAATAGTTAATAAATTAATTTCTTGTGCTCTCTAGAGTAAACTTTTGGTTGGGTTTGTCCATACTACACACCTACACATGTAAGAATTGTATATCGTGATTCACATATACTAATGTAAAGTATGTCGATAATGGCAACGTTGCAAATCTATTGAAATTTAGTTTAGCATCATAACTATTTACATTATAGTGTTATTTTGTGTTAAAGGAAAATTTAAAATCTGAATATGTGCGCGCGCACATGGAATTACACGCACGCTGTTGTTACATCCTGCTCAAATTTTGTATACGTCAAAAAATATCAAAAATCATATACTTCTTACGATTATATTGTTGAACCTAAACAGTCAAATGCTGTTTTTTTTTATGTTCATATATCTATTTTCTGCATGCTCATTATTTTTCATTAAAGTCTTAAATGTAGTTTTCAAGATAAAATTAAAAACGTTAACCTTAATATGGTGTATGCAACACGTGTTAAAAGTACTAATTACAATTGTAATTATTTCAACTCTTGAATAGTAAATTCTTTTATTGCAAAACCAATTAGATATTACTTCAATAAAGATATGGTGAACATTTGGATCAATTAACTATAATTAAATTTAATTATAGTTGTTAGCATTTAATTTAAATATGATATATAAATGAAAGTCTCAAAATATAATAAATTTTATTTAATGCTTTTTATAAAAATAATATTTTTTACATTTCAAATTTCTGATGTAAGATTCAAATTAAAAGATCATAAAAATCCTTAAAAATTAAGTTTCATAAAAATAAAATAACTTTTTAAATTTATATCTGCTATTTAATATTAAATGTAAAAATTTTAATCAGAGATTTGTATTCAACGAAGTGAAAAATCAACGAATTCTCTATCGTATTTTACAAATTTGTAACATACTTTACAAATACCTTACTTTATACTTTTCTTCAGGTACTTTCAGGTTTACTTCAGGTAGTTCACTTCAGGATTTTCTTTATTTTTTATTACAAAATTATAAAATTTACCGCTTAATTTTTAAATTAAAGATTTCTGAAACCTTCTAAAAGTTTTATAATATTAAATTTTTATTATATTGTTTATGACATTAAAATTTTTTTATATTGTTTTGAATTTTTAATTGCCACATTGGATTCATGATTCAAAGTTTCAAAATGTTCACTGAATTTAAATTCGGGGTTTTAAAAAATCTTAAACTAATTGGTTTAAACTTTATATTTAATTGGTTCTTTCATAAAAAATTTTTGATAATAGAATTAGAATTTTTTAATGGTTAAGAGATTAAATTTATATTTATATGAATCAAAGTGTAAATTCATTTTTTGATTAAATTTTTTTGTAATTTTTAATATATTAGAAAATCTAAGAGTAATAATATAAGAGTATCTACTTTAATAATATATTTCTGCGACTTGATGCAGGAATAACCCTCCCCAATATCACTTTTTCCATCAAATTTACTACTATTTTTTCAATCATAATTAAAATCAAATTTATGAAATGCAATTATTTTATTTTTAACTATACGACTTTTATGAAAATTTTATATGATGGATCGCATTTGTTGCAGCTTCCCAAACAGCACACATGTCTAAAATCGGGACATAAGACATCTTAAAGACATCATTAAGACGTCTTTTAGATACCGTGTCTAAAAGGCGTCTTACTGACGTCTTTAAGCCGTCTTATGTCCCGATTTTGGACATGCGTGCTGTCTGGGTTATTATGCATATCTCTTTTTTTTACTAAATTGACATTAGTTGAACAACCAAAAAAAGAACTTTCCGCAGAATAATAATTGGAATAATAAAAAATAAGAGATGGATATAATTATTTAGCATAAGAAGAAAAAACTTTGTTATATTAATTAGTAATATATTAACAGCCGGTTATTCCAACTTTTTAATAGACTTTACTTCTCAGTTATCTAAAATAAATATCAGTAATCCTTATCCGATGGTTGAAATACCGAATAAAATTGCATCTTAGTAATAACAATTTAACTCGTAGGTAAACTTTATCACAGATAGAACAATAGTTACTGATATTTACTAATATTGATTTTAGATAACTGAGAGGTAAAATCTATCAAAAAGTTGGAACAATCGGCTCTAATTCATTTAATAGATATTATTTCTCTCGCTGTTCGAGGAGCCACAGAAGACAACAGCTGCTTTCGTCAAGCTTCATAACAAATTCATAATGGTACCTGCCACCGATTACAACACACTGTACATGTACTATAAAGAACTGCTGATGAAATATTACGGTGTTGATCGCGACATTGACGTTTCCTGCTTGGCCAAGATGTCTGTCGGGATTTCTCTGGATTTTATTCGGCAAGCCGTAGAGAAAGTGCTCTCTTTACGTCGAAGAATCATTCTCAAGTTTGATCCGTTAAATCCACTAGAAATTATGAATGAACTGCTGACATATCGATATCCCACGACAGAAATGGCAGTAGCGCTTGAAAAATTTGAAAAACGCATTCCATTTGCCAAGAAAAGGGCCGCAGCTTTACAAGCCGAAAAGCAAGAGCACAGTTGAACGTGAATTGGAAGATAATGCGTTTGCAGGTGTTTCAACAAATATGTATTTTGCGGAAACAAAAGTTTTGTTCGATGCAAAATTATGTTTGCATATAATGTAAATCTCTATTGTATTCCAAGTGTTTTGCGAAAGCAGTGGTGTAATTCATACGTAGAGATATGAGTAACAGAAATAGCAGCTGCATTTTTTATGTCTCTTATTAATTATTAATATTTTACGATTTTCTAATTTTTTAATAAATATTTTAGATATTATATGCTATCTTTATAGCGTTTATTTTAATATTCAACACATTTTAAATTTTTTTATTTGAAACATTACATATCTTGGCAAGTTTCAAATTCAAAATCTATGAAAACAAAGTCTATTTAAATTAACTAATGAATATAGTTTTGTTACTTACTTGCATCTCCATACAATTTAATTTTAAGAAAAAAATTTATTTTTGACCGCTAATTACATAAAATCTGTTAAAGCGTGAATATTTTTATAATGCAAAAACTAATTCAAAATCTCAGAAATTTATTAAAGAATTATCCACTAGTGGGTTACGTTGCACTCATATGTATTAGTCCTGTATTAACTGTATATTAACTGTATGTCCTATATGTATTAACGCCTTTGCGACGGAATTACATACTTTTCTCTGAATTTTCGAATTAGGATATACGCTAAATAAACAAGTTTTTTCATTTTCCTTCTTTGTTGATTTTTGAGAAATAATGTGTACTTGTTTTATTAAACTAAAATAAAATTATATTGAAAAAAAAATTATCAACACATGACTAAATACGTTCATAATTATTTTTTTTAATTCAAATATTTATATTTAAGTCGTACATTCACAATGTTAATATTAATTGATATCATTTAAAACAATATGGTATTGTTGACATATTTAATTCAGTTAATTATTTTATAATCCTAATCAACATGTAATCTCAATAGTGATAATGCTACAAATGATGCAGTTAATAAGATGAATAGATTCAACACTATTTTGTGTATTTATTAAAATATATGTAAGTAGTTATACCAAAAAATATTTTATTTAAATTTATATTTTTTTTTTCTCAGGTACTAAAAGGGAAAAGTGTATCTCAAAAATACTTATCCGAGAAAGTAGAAATGTTCTGTTTAATTGTAAATTGCAGAAAAAAGATTGCTTAATAATTGCAATATACATAAATATACATGCAAATATGCATATATTGCAATTGCTATATACATACCTTTAATGTATAATGGCGCGTTCGTTTCAAACGTGTTTCCAACCCCTGCACTCTCCTGCAACACCTTGGTCTCAAAATGAAGAAAGAATCCAATAGCACCCACGCCGGTAAAGTGCCCGCAAGTGCATCGTGCGAAAGTCGATAAAAAATAATCCTCAGATTCAGATGTATCTTGCTATCACATCCCTCAATCGAGATTTCTTGAGTCTCTTTTTACACTTAATGAAATTTCACAAGCCAAAAATTTGTTTCAATTGCTTCCTCTATCTTTCATGATACCGTCGTATCATTGTCACACGCGAGATTTTACCGTAAGGAATCTCTGCAAAGGATCAAATCTCAATACCCGACAGTCATTGAATATAATGAAGATAACCAGATGATCGTCAGAATTTGATTACCAAAACGCTATTGCACGTGTACGTATGCACGCAGACGATAATTTATCGAACGCGAGAACTTCAAATCGGAGTTTTAATTGTAAATCGTGGACACTGAATTTTCCGAAGATTCGCGCGGAACGACACAAATCGCCCGGTGGATGGTAACACCGAGGATAAGGGGAGAGGGCGATCCTGCATGAACAGCGGTTATATGATGTGCGTGCTGCGAGGCACTGTGCGCCGAGAGCATTCTCGGCGACCGTTTTGAGAGACGAGAAAACGTCTCGCCTCCACACGTAGTATCCATACGGTGGGGACTCCCCCGGTCGCGTTGGTCCGTTCGTCTGTCTGTGTCTCTCAGTTTCCACATAGCATAGCCATGTATGGAACACGAGACGACGTTCTCTTTCCCGGCCCTTACGCCCACTTGCCGCCGTAGCCGCACGCTCTCCGTGCTGGCTCTCCTGCTAGAGCTGGAGCAGATATCGTAGTGTCGCGGTCAACTAGGACGAAGATGACAATGATATCGCGTGAACCAATAGAAAAAAGTCTTTTGAAAATGCAATGATTGACGATGTCTTTTTGTCTAATCCAGAAATGCAGAATAATTCGAACTTTTCGATACTGAAAACTTAGCGTTCCAAGGACATTGACGAGTTCTAATTAAAGGAAACGATTCAGAAATTCTCAATTTCTCAAATAAGGAAAAGAAACAGAATAAGGGAAGGAAACAGAATTTTTTACAATTCAACATTATTTTACAAAATAACGTTCTTCTCATCTACTTTGCTTATCGATTGATTTTGTTTATCGATGCACTACAAGAAGTAGCGTCATTTTTATGCCCGCTGCTTTTGCACGCACGAGAGGATTCGAGAAAAGATCAAGGACCGGGTGATAAGGAAACGATAAGTAAAGTTAGGAGGGGTCTCTAAACATCAGAATCGTTGCGAAAATTTTTTGATACTGAAAATTGGTTTATCCATCATCGTCGTCGTCATTGTCGTTATGAAATCACATAAAACCGGGCCTACACGCCTACGCTGCGGCGAGAGACTGGCGTAGCTGCGATAAAAGAAAGTTCGACTTCTTTAACAAGTCTGAGTTGTTTATAATGCGTCAGAAACATCAAACCTAAATGACCCGAATCTGAAAAAAATACAGCATGAAGAATATATATCGTGCAAACTGGATTTATTTTTTTCAAATAAAACTACAAATTCTAAAATAATATAAAAAAATATTTATATTTGCGAGAAAGTTGTTATAATATTATTAAAGAACTTAAAAATAAACAGAATTTTAAATGTACCTCCAGAATGTATTCGCTGTTAATTGTCACAATATAATAGAACTTTTTATTATTTTGATAGATTTCAAAGTATATGCTAATTATATACGATTGTTGCTATTGTATTTTTCTTGTAATATAAATTTATTTCATATATCGTTAACTATAAAAATCTATTTACAGTTATGTAAATATTTGACATGTAATATATTTCTTAAATTTTTCACAATTTCTAATTAATTATTTCTCAGTACACGAATATACAATATTAGTTTTTATAATGTATTCAATGTTTTATATTATCTAAATTTTAACAAAATAATTCTTTTAATTTGATTCTTTTATAAATAAGTCTATTCGCAAAATCTTTTAACATTTATCACGAGATGATTTCTCATAGTTTTATAAATTGACTTTTTTGAATTAATCAATGTGTTTTTCTAACAAGAACGCTAACGCGGTGAGATAGATTCTTCTTACATTTCAACGTAAAGGCGAGGTAGTGGTATCGTACAGTTGACAGAGTCTGATTGAGAATCTCATTGTATACAAATATTGACGAAAAAAAGCGATTTAAGCGGCACTTGCACAAGGAATTAATTCGAGAAGTTTAAAGCGCGCATTCGATCAATATAAAATATATTGCAAGTATTAACTTGACTGAACTCTTAATATCTCATAAAATTAACTTAAATAGGTTAATAAAGATAACAATGCTTGCAAAATTGGAAAAGTTTATAAAAAATATTGACTATATAAGTTTATTGATTACACAAATTGGCTATACAATAAAAATTTTTAAATAATATGTTTTGATTCTGCGATTTGATATGTACGATTCTGTGAAAGATAATCGATTGTACGCTATCCAAAGGGCTGCTATCGTTTATACATCCACGCAAAAAACTGTATTCTCCGAACAGGCTACATTGGAGTTAATTGTCGATTTCTATGTCAAAGCATATTTATGTTTGACGATGTATTGCAGCGCAAGTTCTTCTCCAAGTTTTATCAAAAAATTTGTAAAAAAAAGTAAGAGAAATCAGCAACATCTACGTGAAAAGGTTTATTCGCAGAAAAGTAGAATATGTAGCGCTTAAGATGGTTCGAGCGTTAATTAATTTTCTTAAAAAATTATTCAAATCTATATTTGTACTTAGAGACTTCATAAATATAATCTCACAATTTCAACAATATTTGACTTATTAATTACTGAGATGTTTGACTTTAAAGTAAGAAATTTTTATACAGAATCTTATGGCAAAAGTCGATGTTACATTTAATTATGTACTATAATAAAAAAACTATACTACTATAATAAAAAAACATATTCTTATGATTTTGATAAAAAAGTAGCAAATAATAAATAAATTCATAATGAAGCTTTTAGAAAGAAAGTACAATAGTTCACTTGTTAATTATTGAGAAATTAAAATTTAAAATTTGAAGATTTTTATATATTACACCACTTGATACATTTAACACTGATATAATAGCGACAATACTGCATTATTGTGACGAGATTAATGTAAATATGCGCTTTTTTAATCCATTTATGTTTTATTTTTGTCGACATATTTTGTATTTAATAACATAAAAAATTACATTTATGAATAAAATGTATAATTACAATACTTTACCTTACAGGTCAGAAATTCATAAATAAATCAACACATTATTGTCACATATAATACATAGTGTATAGTTTAACACTTATCAGACATTTCGAACAATCATAACTAAAAATTTCGTGTGTATAAATGAGAGTTTCTTAATCTATTATCAGCCCAGCAAACACAAAATAACAGTAACATAACATTAATGTTACAATTTCCCACTCAACAACATAATTGTTACGTACAAGGCATGTTATATTGCAGTTACATTATTAAGTGGGAAATTATAACATTGACGTTATGTTACTGTTAGCTTGTGTTTACTGGGAGTGAGCTATATAACATACCGGAGTGAGCCTTGAAGAAGTGGGGATGGACCACTGTGAAAAAAAAGAGAGTTATATCGGACGGGGATGTCTATCTCATGTCTGTCTTCGTTTTTATATTTATAATAATATTATAATATTCCCAGCCATACACGGTAGTACATGTGGAAGAAAGACAAACGCGTCCCCGCCTTCTATTGCCATCCTTGAGCCGCAAACTACACATTGGTTTTTATGGAAAAGGCTCACTCCAGTACGTTATATAGCTTAAATCCCTGCTATTATCCCACCACAAAAACATTACTTTTAGCCAACAATGTCACGCTCGAACCACCTTAACTTATTATCCCCTCACAAAAATTACTTTTAGTAAAACAGTTAAGTCCAAAAATATAGAAAAGTAAGATATTGGTACCCTTAGATTTCTTAGCTCCTTGGTTACAAATTGAACGTTTAAAAATATGTAGAAACAGTTACAAATTTTATAAAATCAAGGGAGAAAAATGAGTCCAGTTGCAAAAGCAGTTAAATCCCTATTTACTGTTGCAAATGCAGTTTATATTAGTTATATTAGTTTATATTCTTTTGCCAATTTTTCCTGTGTTTAGTATTTTACTTTTATTTGAATTTGATATAAAAATAAAAGAGGAAAAGACATTGTATTTTTCCAAAAAATAACTAAACATAATGTTTTGTAATATATGTAAATTTTGTTTATATTATTGGTAATAAAAATGTTTCAAAATTATAAAAATTATGTTAATTTAAAATAAATTTCATTTAAATTAAAGTAAAAATGGCAGACATCAGTTTCAAAATCAGCTAAATCCTTTTGTCCAGCTGCAAACCCAAAGTAAATTCTATTTTAATAAATAGAAATTGTATTTCTCATGCCATATTATACATTTTGTTAATTAAAACAATGAATTTTTCTTAATTTAAAAAAAAAGATCTTATTGATAGCTTGAATGAGACAAATTGCAAGTTTTTCCGCTCTAGCCAAAAAGATTTCAAGTGGATTTAACTGCTTTTGCAAATGGACTACACATGGCATGTTTTTATTTATAATTATATTTTTTTATTATTTATTTATAATTTTATTTTTTTATTATTTAGTATTACGCTTTATTTATTTATTTTTATTAAAAGTAATATTTTTACATTATATATTTGAAAAAAACATTTTATTCATCTATGCAATATATATTTTATACAACTTATAGAGTACATATAATAACATAAAAATATAAAATACTATATTAATTAAAATATTAATTTCCGAATGACTGCATGCAATTACCTATAATAGTAAAAATGCAATATTATATTTAATTCACTTTATAATAAGAGGCATGAATAGTCCTCAAAAGAAAATTGATCTAAAATCTCTTCTCTCTTAATTTATTTGAATGTGTCTTCCACTATATCGAGATAATTCTTGACATCATTCATGTATCTCGTTAGGAACTTACAATCCTTTTTTACATTTGTAATCAAATTTCTAACTTGTTTTTCTCTGTAAAAGAAAAAATTATATATTTCATTAAAATACAGTTATACAAACGATTTTTCTTTTAACTCACCTTACTGTACCCAGCAAGCAATGAACATCGATATCATTTGATGTCAATTTGTTAAAGCATTTAACTTTAATTGTAATTTTCAGTACAATGTCCATATGTTTGCTTCGAGAGATAAACGTAATTCTGTCATTTACAAATAATTAATAAAATTAGTATATGTGTATATATGCTGATTATATATATGGTGTTTCACAATGAAATCGACAAACTTCGCCAACGTGTTCCAAATGGCTACTTTGTGTCTCTCACACTGTGTGATTAGATATACCTCCATCCATACAGCACAGAATGTTGGCAAGTTCATTGTTGATATTAACAGCAGTTTCAGTTATGCCTTGCACCAACTTTTTATGTGTGTCTGGCTTAAACACGTGAAAATAATGTAATGTAAAACTAACAATTAAACAAACATTAAATGTGAATCGGAGTTTGAATATGCCGAAGCATATTTGTGGCTTATATCAATAAACTTCCAATAACTTTCAATAACACAGCCAAATTAACCCATGGTTTGTATAACTTTTTTACTTAAAATAATCTCCTAAATACACTGGCAAAGTTTGTCGGTTTTAGAACACCTTGCATGCGCGTGTGTACACCACAAAAAATAGGGAATACTTCAGACATTGAAAATTAAGCAAATTTAGTAATTTCAAACCGCTGGCGAAAAATTATCGCAGACCAAAAATTTAAAAAATATATTTTGAAACTGGCAGTTTGTATTTTTACGTGCTTAGGTCATTTTTTAAAAATTTTTTATCTTTATACTCTCAAAAAAAAGAACATATTGTTTTGTTCCTTAAAATTACTTACCTTCCACACCCTGCAGCTCAATAATAAATTTTTTTTCAAAACATTTATGACAAGTGACAAAAACTACGATTCTTTATTTGTAAAACGTGTATTTACAAATGTTCTTACGATTTTTTTGGCCGTTACGCGACTTTGAAAATAAACCTGTTTTTACGCCAATGCTACTGCAGACGGTAAGCGTTATTTTTTAAATATAGTTACAAAATTGCATAGCAAAAATAAGCGTTATTTTTCACAAATATAGTTACAAAATTGCATAGCTCAACCACAAAAAATCATAGAAACATTTCTAAACACGCGTTCTGCAAATAAAATGTACTTTTTGGAACTTATCGTAAACTTTAAACACAAATTTTTCAATAGACTGCAGAGTGTTGACAATACGTACTTTTAAGACAATAACAGTGTTTTTTCCTTCAGGCTCAAAATCTTTCAGGCACTAAAATAAAAATTTTTAAAAACTGTTACAAATACATAAAAGTGCAAACTTTAAGCCTTAAAATGCTTTTTGGATTTTTGATCTGCAATGATTTTTCGCCAAGTTACAGCGGTTTGAAAATAGTTCAGTTTTGAGCATCAAAAAGCATTCCCTACTATATATATATATACTATTATATCAGCACCTCAGAGGCAGAGTATGTTAGTCACATAAACATAATTTTTCAGAAGGATCTAAAGAGAGATATTTATGGTTGCTCGACGATTTTTGTTAAGATTAATTTCTTTAAATTTCTTTAAAATCTTTAAACGTAACTAAAGACTTAAAACTGTTTGCCATTGGGTAAAAATTGGATATAGTCTTGTGATAATAACTCAATAATAACTCAAAAAATGTGACTTAATAGTATACTTAGACTTAGTATACCTCTGAGGTGTTGATATTAATTATGTCGAATAATAATTAAACATGATATAAAACAATTAAATATAAATTCATACTCATCAGTGCTAATCTCCATTAAGTTCAAGCTATTCAAACGTTTCAAGTCAAACATAAAATCCATTACTAGTGTTATATCTTGCGAAACAAAATCTAACATTGGAAGAATATCTTCTTGAGTTTTGCAGAAATCCATAAGTGTTTCCGCATTTAATTTTTCCAGAATTAACTTGTGAACTATCTTTATTAGCACACCTGAATCATCTATCACAAAAAGAAAATTAAAATATTGCGATTATGTCCTTTCGTCCTTTCGAAATAAATGATCGTATAATTACCTGTAACGCGGGAAATAATTGAGATTTTTTGAATCTTTAAAATCTCTTCCGTACAATTCGACAAATACATTACTATCAATAACGAATTCGCCATAAAACCAAATGTGATTATTCTCCTGTCGATATTCTTGTGATATACGTTCCAAATGCAATAATCGCTGAAACAATATAATATTAATGCTCATTCATTTTTACAATCAAGAAAACTTGATTGTAAAATATGATAAAAATATATAGAATATCCTAAAATGTTTCAAGTTAATTACTAAGATTCTTTGACCAATTCAAAATTAATTTTTATTTAGTATCTCATATATATATATATATAAAAGAAAGAGAGGGGGAGGAGGAGAGAGGGGAAGACGAGGAGGGAAAGAGAGAGAGATAGAGGGGAGGGAGGGAGAGGGAGAGAAAGAGAGAGAGGGGGGAGGGGGGGAGAATTTTTTCATTTATCACATCTTTCCAATTCGTAACATATTTTTTAATTAAGATTAAAATTAAAATTTCACTAAAATAAAATTTGCTTGAAATTAACTGTGAAGAACGTTATTTATTTTATGTTATTTATCTTCGAAACTTTATTTGCAAAAGTTTTTCTTTTTCATAATTGTTTGTAACTCAAAAACTATCAGTATCTTGAATTTTCACTGGAAAAATTTACTATAAATTGGTCATAGAATCTTTCAATAAAGGACAAAAGTCTCTTATAAAAGGACATTCGCGAATTTTGAAACATTTTGTATACCTATTGCCATGTATTTCTAATTTCTGAAATAATGACAGAAACCAATCTTGATTGATTACAAACTCGTCTTTAATCAGGCCAACACTTTGTTCTGCTTCAGGCCTTTTCTCTATACATTCTTCTTCTCGTTCCATAATTTGTACTGCATTTGAACTCTCTTTGCAATATTTCTCAATATGTTTAATTAATTTCTCTTTAATTAATTTCTCTTTAATTATTACTTCTGTCTTATCGAGAGTATCAATATATTGTTTTACTTCCATGCTTTTATTCAAATATTTTTGCCGCTTTTCTTCAACATTATTTTCTAATTTTTCATCATTATTTATTCTCTTTCGACTGCATTTTCCTTTTTCTATTCGAGCTTTTTTTATTACATGACAATCAACTTCCTGGTTATTTTCAGTTTTATTCGCTGTAATGCTTTCATAATAATCTTTCGCTTGATTGTTCTGATTATTTGTTAGCGCTTCCGTTTCAAGATCCACAAATTCTCTTTTACTATTTGTTGATTGATCAGAATTATTATAACTATTATTGACTAATGCATCATCGGCAATTCTTAATGTCTGAGGTTTGTCTTGGTGCAAACTATGAAAAGAATTCTCTTCTTCGCTGTCTAAACATACAAACAAAGGTGGTTCAATCGATTCTAGTTCTGCAGAACTGTCTTTCAAGTATGATAGACTGTTTGTCAAAAAGTTACATTCGCTAATGTCGTTTATGCTATCTTCAAGATTTGACTGAAAATCAGTTGTATTTTTTACAATAAACTCTGTAGATATATCTTTTTCTGCTTGTGTATTTTTGTCGGATATTAACTTACATGCAACTAAATTAACCTCTCTGTTTCTTGATGATACCACTTCAGTCATTTCCATGGACGTATTAAGAAAAAGTGCAGTTTTATCGTTTCTAGATCTTGATTCAACCATTCTCAGATTCTCCTTATTATAAGAAGATGGTGTACATATATTTACAGGTCTCGTCATTTCTATCGATACATCATTGAAAAACTCGGTTTCATCAGTATCAACATTTTTCAAATCATTTCTTTCAACTATACTTTCGCTGCAACAATGTCGAATATCTCCTGCATATATCTTAGATGTTACAGCAGCAGTAATTTCCATTGAGGTATCGAAAGTTGTATTATGACACACGACAGTGTTTGTAGGTTGTATCATGGTTGTTAGCACCATCGAATTATTAGTATAATTTGCATCCTTTTTCTGTTCAGCAATACTGAATTGTGTATTTATTGTGCTATCGTGGACATTATTTACAGTGCTGCACTTCGCACTTTTATTATAAGAATGTGAAATATCGTTTTCATACATTTTTGATGCTATATCAGTCATTTCCATTGAAGTATTAAAAGCTATATCGTTCGTATAACATGTATCGGTATTTGTAGACTGTATTACAGTTGTTAATGCCATCGAATCATTAGCATAGTTTGCATCTTGCTTTCGATCAAAAACAATACTTTTAGAAAGGATATTCGATTTTGCATTTATTGGAAATATTGTATTCTCATGAATGTTATTTGTAATGTCATGCTTTGCATTTTTATAATTTGGTACCATTGTTGATATCTGCTCAAAAATTCCTAAATTACAACTGGTAGATGCCATAGATCCTGGTAGAGCCTCTGTAATTTCCATCGACACATTACAGCAATTTGTAAATAAATTATTTAAAGATATGTCTCTGTTTTCCACTACATGCTCTTTTATGGATGAAATTGCTAAAGATGTAGGTATTGCTGTCGTAAACTCCATAGATACATCTTTAATACATGTTTTGTCTAATTCAGACTCAATATTGTTGAAACATGATTCAGAATATTTTTCGCCAATATCACTCACACAGTTTTCTTTCCCATCAGAGTTACTATATGATACAATATTATTACTCAATGTTGTACTTCTAGATACATGAGAAACATCATTTATTGGAAATATTGTATTCTCATGAATGTTATTTGTAATGTCATGTTTTGCATTTTTATAATTTGGTACCATTGTTGATGTCTGCTCAAAAATTCCTAAATTACAACTGGTAGATGCCATAGATCCTGGTAAAGCCTCTGTAATTTCCATCGACACATTACAGCAATTTGTAGATGAATTATTTAAAGACATGTTTCTGTTTTTCACTACATGCTCTTTTATGGATGAAATTGCTAAAGATGTAGGTATTGCTGTCGTAAACTCCATAGATACATCTTTAATACATGTTTTGTCTAATTCAGACTCAATATTGTTGAAACATGATTCAGAATATTTTTCACCAATATCACTCACACAGTTTTCTTTCCCATCAGAGTTTCTATATGATACAATATTATTACTCAATGTTGTACTTCTAGATACATGAGAAACATCAGATATATTTAAAATTTTTATTTTTCCTGGTTGAGACTTCTCATTTAGTATCACAGATCCTTCTTTTATGTCATTGAATCCTTTAGGACTAATGTCATGCTCCTCATATGTACTATCCCATACAGTCAGTCCTTGATCAGTAAGATGACAAAACTGTCTGTGCAAAATAAAATGTATTAAAGCAATAATTGGATCTTAACTTTGTAAAACTAATACTTACTTGACATGTTTTTTCTCAGCAAAGCTAACGCGTCTTTTAAGTTTTGGACTAACTGTTGTTGGACTGTTTTCATCGAGTGAGGAATCAAAATCCACACTTTGCAATGCTTGTCGTGGTTTATGTGATTTAAGAATCTATTAACACAAATAAAATTATTATTTGTAATGTCAACATATTAATCACTAAAAAAAACCCTTTAGTTTGAAAGAGTTAATAAGTTACAAAACTAAATGAATAACTCACTGATGAACCTATTGATGATCTAGATTCACTTTTCCTAGATTTAGAAGTATCCCTGTAACGTTCGTAAAAATATTACTTTTTTATAGAAGACTTCTATATCGTAAAACATGTATTTTATTTTTATGTACAAAATAATAAAAAAAATTAATATTTACATCTTATTTCTGCATTTAAAAGAATAAAAACGCTTAAATTCAATTTAAAAACCTCTACAGCGAACAACGAGGATTGAAGTGACAGTTTATGACAGTTAAGCTTGGTGAAAACCAACTTTAAAAGAGTTTCAAAAGATTTAAAATGATTTTGGAGACCTCATGTGAGAAAGATGCAAAACTCCGGATTCAAGGCTACCAATATAAAAAAAAATTTTTCGACCCGTATTCTGGACATCAATCATGTAATTTTTTCCTAGGAGCGGAAACATGAAAAGTGAAAACTTTCACACGTGAATTCGACTATTCTATTTGTCGAATTCACGTGTAACTTTTCACTTTTCACGTTTCTGCTCCTAGGATAAAATTATAATCGATATCCTGGAGAGAGCCTTTCCATAAGGCCGAATTCCCACTGAGCGCGACATGCGTCGCGTTATCCGTCGCGTCACAAATTAACCAATCAAAACATCCCATTTTATTGCATTATTTGCCGCGCGAATAAAATGGGATGTTTTTATTGGTTAATTCGCGACACGACGGATGACGCCGACGCGTGATGCGCTCAGTGGGAATTCGTCATAAGAGCCAATAGAGATTTGTTCGCATCGCATGTCCCAACATGCTCCAATATGCTCCAATCTATAGTATACGTAACATAATACCATACTATACTATACTACAGTATTACAACTTGAGAATTAACAATGTTACAATTAAAACAAGCGTTTTTGTTTATACGGATTTTGATCGATCCAAGGTTGATCAATCACTATTTTATTATGAATTTATGTTTTTTATTGGTGGAGACAATGCAATGACGTCATTAATCAACCTTGGGTCGATCAAAATCCGTATAATCAAAAACGTTATATGTCTCCTATCTACTATAAATTTACATCACATATGTAATTGGTCGATTTTTTTATACTTAAGGCCATCACACACAAAATGACATAACTGCATATGCATAGCATAAGACCGTCTCGACCAATGAG